TACTCTCTCTCTCTCTCTCTCTCTCTCTCTCTCTCTCTCTCTCTTTCTGTTTTGAGTCTGTGGAAGGAGTAGGTGCTTTGGCAACTTCATGACTGAACATTCTAACAACAGCTTAATTTTTTTTGTTTCTGTACCATACCATCCTGATTAGTTCCTGTACATGCAAATTATTTGGGCAGGAGAATAGGTTTCTTCTTCTCTCTCAAGCTAGCCACTGTGGTCTTTTGCAGCATGGACAACTATAAATGGAGAGCAGCAGCATATGAGGTGGGAGAACCTTCTTCTTCTTACACCATATCATATCATGAAGCCTTATTCTCCAGAGCTTCAGAATGGGAGCAGCAGAACAAGCCTGCAGAACACCCCCAGGATAGTCCTCCTCCTCACTGCCACCTTGTTCCTCCTCACCATCATTCCTCTCTATCTCTTCCCTTTGCTAGCCACATCGTTCGCATGGAGAAACTTATCCTCTCCACCTTCCTCCCCTTCTCCTTCTCTTTCTTCTTCCTCTTCCTCTCCATCTTCTTCTTCTCGTGACATGAGCCGTGACGCCATGGCTGGTGTGACGATGGCCAAGAGCTCGTGTGATATCTTTAGGGGGGAGTGGGTGCCCAACCCTAACGCGCCTTACTACACCAACGAGACGTGCTGGGCCATCCATGAGCACCAGAACTGCATGAAGTTTGGGAGGCCGGACACGGAGTTCCTGAAGTGGAGGTGGAAGCCGAACGACTGCGATCTGCCCATCTTTAACCCGGCGCAGTTCTTGGAGCTCGTCAGAGGGAAGTCACTGGCCTTCGTTGGAGACTCGGTGGGGAGGAACCAAATGCAATCCCTCATCTGCCTCCTGCTCAGAGTAAGTCCCTCTCTAATCTTTGTTCTCTCACCTTCCACTCGATGAAGGAAGCTGTATTATGTTCATAAGCATCGATGGCCAGAATGACTCACCACCCTTAAGCTGAGCTGAACCAATCAGCACACTGCACAAAGACCTTCACAGCTACAGTGGAAGGTTGACATGAGAGGGGAGAGGGCATAGATGTCATGTGCTCTATTCACTTTTTGTAGGATAGTATCCTATGGAATTTTTGTCAGTGATGATAACTAGTCCTCAACTCTCAGTAGCATACTTTCATCTATATATATATACATATATATATATATATATATATATTGCAAGGTTATCTTGTAGCAAGTATACAACTTTAAGATCATTCTTTGTGCCAATAAGCAGTCAGAAAAGTTCAGACTAGCCAGTTGGTGGAAGGTAAAAGCTCAAATCTTTTGCTAGAAAAATATTTCACATTTATATTAACTCAATCTCTTGGGTTTGGTAGGAGGAGGACAAAAGAGTTGTGTATCTTTTCAGCTTATAAATAAGAAGGTTAAGCATTTTAACTTCAGAATAGCCAGCTATGGACTTTTGTAGTGTTCCATAGATATATCTGTCCTTTGTTCTTTTATTTATACTTGGTTAGAGCCTAACCATCCTTTGTGCATAGACCAATATTATTTCTTGGCCTGTAGGGGTGGAGTGGGTACCCTTTCCCTGTCCTAACATTTCTGGTGTCTTACATGCATGCACTAAAATGTAGAGCCAATCACATATCATCTTTTCGAAAGGATTTCCATCTCTGCTTCGTTAAATTTATAGGTCACATATGCGGTGGATGCGTCGGTCACTGAAGATGAGAAGTTCCGGCGGTATCACTTCCCGACCCACAACTTCACGGTGGCCAGCTTCTGGTCTCCGTTCCTGGTGAGGGCACACGAAGCCGACCCCAATGGCCCAACCCTCACCGGCCTCTTCAACCTCCACCTGGACCAAGTGGACACCAACTGGACCACCCAGATGACGCCGTTCGACTACGTCATCGTCTCCGCCGGCCACTGGTTCTTCCGCCCCACCATGTTCTTCGAGGCCGACCAGCTCGTCGGCTGCCACTACTGCCTCCACCCCAACGTCACCGACCTGACCATGTACTACAGCTACCGGAGGGCCTTCAGGGCCGCGCTCCGGGCCTTCAACGACCTCCCGGGCTTCAGGGGCACGGTGTTCCTCCGGACCTTCGCGCCGTCGCACTTCGAGAACGGCGAGTGGAACAAGGGGGGCAACTGCGTGCGGCAGCGGCCGTTCCGGAGCAACGAGACAAGGATGGACGGCTACAACCTGGAGATGTACATGGCGCAGCTGGAGGAGTACCGGGCGGCGGAGGGCGAGGGGAAGGAGAAGGGCGTCAGGTTTCGGTTGCTGGATACCACGGAGGCGATGCTACTAAGGCCGGACGGTCACCCGGGCCGGTTCGGCCACCGCCCCGACGAGAACGTGACTCTCTACAATGACTGCGTCCACTGGTGCTTGCCGGGGCCGATCGACAACTGGAACGATTTCCTGCTCCATATGCTGAAGAACGAGGGTGGCAGATCAGCCGCCGGCCGACGATCCAGGAACGACAGGAAGTCCACGATCAAATAGGTGATCAACATTGCTTCTCTTTTTGTTCTTAGAGCACGTAATTTGTATTTTAATTAGTATACCATACTGTGGTCTACATGAATTTTGGTTTGTTCTTTCTCCATGCATCAAAAGGTTGTAGAAAGCTGTGTGATAAGCCATTACCGTGAGACCAATGTCAATAATTGTTGTGCTGAAGCTACTGCTGCCTTATCACCATTAAATAAGCCTACTTCATCATTGCTTGAAGACTAAGCTTTCATCAAACATGTCCTTACAAGACCTTCTTTAAACACCACAGCTCTTTAACTTTACAGGACTCCTGAGATCACATTGCTAAAAGACTGCTTTAAACACCACTAAGCTTCTTAGTTCTTAGCATTACTCACTACAAGAAAAACTGGGTTTACATCTCTCAAAAAGCTTCATCTTTGATTCATAAATAAACTTGTAGTTACTAATCAATCACAACAACTCAATTTTCACATAATAACTAGGAAAAAATTAGAACGGGCTGTACTGAAAAGAATAGCTTACTAAGCAAATTTGCTCATTTAAAGATGCTTCAGATCTGAAGCACTAATAATAATATAAAAGAACTTGATGACCAGTATAATCAATCAGGCTCTCTGTGCCCCCACAGTGTCCTAAAGATAGATAGGAATGGCATGAAATTCCCAAGAAAAATTCCACTCAAAGAATAATCATCAAGACTCATAAAATCATACAGGAAGATATAAGGAAAAATAAGAGGAAACTTACTTTTGCATTAAGTGGAAGATGTTTTACTTGCAAACCAATAATAAATTGCCCTCAAGTGTTAAACAACCAATGCAGTGTACCAGTTATCCAACTAATACATAGTGAACACTCAAAGAATACAAAGTTGAACTGGTGTTGAGAGTAAATAATATAGTTAGCTATGCTTGGCATCCTACTACATTTCTTACATTCAGAAAAGATAGAAAGAAAATTATCAAATATGATAATAAAAAACCAGTTTTTCATCCTGGCTGTCTGGCATCAATGCATGAGACCATTTCAGCTGCATATGGGGTCAAGTTGAATCTTACATGAAATAATCAAGACTTAACCAATGGCTGGCTAAACTTCAGAGCATTATTTGCTCTCAGTCATAGATGTAATTAACCTCCAGAATGTTGTGTGCTCTCTCTGACCATGCACATTACAGTCATCTAGTGTGTATCAAGGATATCTCCTGTCTTGCCCAAAAAATTCAGAGGCTGGCACAGAGTCAACACTGCAATAAACCCAATTCACAAAGTCAACAATTTCTGATGACAGGAATTTTCTGCATACACGACTTCTAATGATGCAGTATGAGATTTCACAAATCATGAAGAGCAACAAGAGATCTTCCAAGACAGGTGAAGTTGACACCCAAATCAGCAAAATAAGAATTCTCGTGGAATTTTTACCAGCAACATCATCAGTAGGGATTTCGTTATCTAAGAGTCGTACGCTACCATAACTGGAGAAAATTTTCCAGTGTCCCGAGTCTTTTCACCCAGAATTTGGGAGAAGTAACGAGAAACATAATCATGTAGCTAAGTCAAACCTTCAAATCACGGAAGACATCTCAATCACCTTCATAGGAAACCACGCCCTTCTGTCCATTAGTATGATCAGCTTTACTTCGTTTTCCCCACTTATTCCTCCCGAAGCCATGTTAAATCCATCTCACAATATCTGCCGCTTGCCCGTTCTTGACGACTTACAAAACAGATCCAGCTTCCTAGCTAAAATTGATATTTTAATTCATCATCTGGATAGAACAGCAAACTGATAATATCCCAATTAGCAAGATTTAGTACGAGAACTAAACCAAATTGGAACATACGTACATAGTTAAAGATGTCTATTTGACAACTACAGGCATCCAAACAGAACGGGAACAGTTTATTGCGCAGAAAGAAAATTACTTTCCTCATCCATCAATCATCAAGCTCGAGCCTTCCATCACTCCGTACCGATCTGTATGTTTATGGCACTATTATTGCCGACTCAAAAATAGCCATCACCTCAGATCTGCAGAAGTCAATCAAGATCTGCAGCATCAACTGGGTCACATCAATCAACGCTACCATCAAATTTGTACCTTTTTTCTCCCAGTCTCTGGTGTAAAGAATAGAGCTAAAGAAGAGATCGCAACAAATGGACGGCGAAGGGGGGTCGGGAGACGGGTCGATGTGGAAGTCCGGATGCTGACGTTCGTCGACCTACTCCCCCTTCGAACGCATAGAAAAGCAAGAAAACGAACGGACCTGACCACCGCCACGAGAGAGACTAACAGGGCCAGTAAGGGATCGATGAACCGCTGCCCCCAGAGATCAATAGACTCGAGAGGACGAGGAGGAGGAAGAGGGGATCGGAGATTGGTGACGTGCGTCGATCGGGTCAAGCAGAGCCGTCGGATCCAGGTTCCGGTTCGGATCAGTGGCTCTCGCCCGCCAGTTTGGACATCAAGATTCGGTCACGCGAGTCTTGCGTTGATGGCGAGTTCAGTCGAAAAAGACGCGAACGGTTCGGACCGGCCTGGTTTACCAGGTAATTCCACAATCTCGACGTGCGTCGATAGGGTCAAGCAGAGCCGTCAGATCCAGGTTCCGGTTCGGATCAGTGGCTCTCGCCCGCCGGTTTGGACATGATCTTATTTATTTTTTTGATATAATTTAACATTATATGATCTTATTTAATTAAATAAATATATTATAGATCTGATTGGATTCTAATTATGATTATAGATCAATAGAAAAAAAATATATTTATGATATACTTCCTTAAGAGATGTATTTGATGAGAAAACTAATCACTTATCCTACATCTCTTGCTCTTGATTATAAAAAGACAAAATCTCTTATGGGTATACGATGCATGAAACACGATTAAAATTATTGATTTATTATTTTATTATTCAAAATAGTCTTATGATGAATATGAGACTGAAGCAATTTTTTGATGTTTTCTATATTTTATAGATTCATTCTATAAATACTATTCATAAATAGTGTTTAAGTGTATAGATGCCTCCGAATTTTTTATGGTCTGATTTATAAATTCTATTTTAGGGTACATGTAATATTGATAGGCTCCATAACCTAGAGGATTAATTTTGATCATGGCTTCAAAAACATTTTGATTTCAAAATTGACGGACAATTTCAATTCAAATTACTAATTTTTTTTATTATAGTTTAATTAAAAATTTAAAACATAAAAAAATTTTAAATAAAAAAATAAAAAATTTGATAGTTTTAATTAGAACCGAAACCAGCTATTTCAGAATCTTTCATGATCGATTTCGATTTAATTTGAAATCGACGAAAGATTGATTTGGTTTCGATTTTAACCCAATTCGAATTCCGATTCGAACCAAACAATTATGAGCTTCATCATAATCATAGTTTCTCATGAACTTAGTTTGAAATAAAATCAAATAGTAACACCCAAATGCTTCTTCTAAACTTACCAAATTGTCTTGATGGACTTGACAAATATAGGCCATAGATTGGTAGCATAAATGTTGCTCATAAAAAGTTGCATGTCTGAGTAGTAACACACCAAACCTTTATATTTGGTTTTCTTCTTATTTTCAATATTTACAAATAGATGATGTGAAAAATAGGATATATATATATATATAAAAAGAGAAAACCCCTTTAAAGTTTCAGGGATTGTTTGGTAAATTCAGTCACTCTCGGCCCTAAAAGGAGGAGAAACGAATGAAAGCGGAAACCACAATCTTTTTGGTTATCCGTTTCGCTTCGCTCTGCGTCCCTCCACCTCTTCCTCATCCTCTGTTGCTTCCGTCGTCGATTCTTCTCTCTCTCGTTCTTCAAGGAAGAGAAGGTGGCTGGGCCTTCGGGAAGGAGCGTTGGTCGGGATTCGGACCGGTTGACAGCTCCTCGCTGTGGGGTGGATGGCGTCCTCGGGTTGAATCCCTCGGCTCTCGCGGGTGATTGTCCGTCTGCAAAGAAAAAAAAAAAAAAAAGACCTTCATCGTGTGGTTTCCGACCGTCCGTGGCCCCTCCGACGAGCAAGTCAATCCTGAGAAAGGTTGTTAAGAGTTGTCATCATTTTTTTTTCTCCCCTCGGTGCGGAGGGCGGCCCGAGGTTTTTATATTGTTGCAAGGAGGTCTATACGGCTTGGCGTGGTGGACGCACCAAATAGTGCCTCGATACAGATTTTGTTTTGGCGTGTGGGGATGGTGTCGTCCCGGTAAACCTGGGACGAGACGTGTCAAGCGATGCCTTGGGGTATGGACTCTGACGTGGCGTCGCATCGGCTGTGACGTGTCCGGGGGGCAAAATATACCTTATCACTTCTCCCCCCGTCAAGACGCGCCGTGGGGTTCTAAAAGGGCCGGGAAGCGTGTCTGGGTCAGAATGTTACGATTGTGTTACGAGTGGGACCGGGGTCGGCTCGTTGTGGGGCGGTCTGGAGGGGCAGCGCCCCGCGCCTTGAGAAGGGTCGAGACTGCTGATCGGGCGGTCGAGCCGAACGAGGAGAGGTTGTCGTGCCGTAGGTCGTGTAATTAGTTTGGCGCGACTCGGAGTTACGGACGACGAGTTGCAAGTCGGAGACCGAGCTGGAGCAGCTCGGGCAAGGGGCTAGCAGAGACGTGACTCGAGCGTCGGATGTGGCCGAGATGTGAGTCAGGAATAAATCTGAAGCGGCACGGGTGAGGAATCGACTGACGAGTTGTTAGTCGGTAATCGATCTGGAGCGACTTGGGCGAGGACTGGGTCGACGAGTCACCAATCGAGAATCGATCTGGAGTGACTCGGGCGGATATGCATGTGATGCACATGTGGAGTGGAATCATTTGTAAAGCAAGAAATGACTACGAGCAATTCATATCTTATCAATGTTACTATGCGATGCAAATAGTTGTGGATTTTTGGCCTACAAATCATCTCTAGTGTCGACCAAAAGAAAAAATAACTCATATCTTTACGTCACGTAGAGATGCATGCATGTATACATTTGAAATTTGGCTTTCAGATGCATGCATTCAATTCTAACACTCATTTGGCTTTCAGATGCATGCATTCAATTCTAACACTCAAAAGAAGAGACTATGATTAATCATACCAATTGTAAACCAAAAAAAAGGAAATACTCTGATTATGTATTGTTGGAATTATTTTAAGAGGAGATGTTAGTGTATTGTTGGAATAAGCTAACACTAATCTTCATTAACGAATCAAAAGGGAAGCTTTCCGTAAGTACGTGCATGCATGCATAAGGTTGATTGACACCATGCAATATACTAATCGTTTGACTTGAGATAAAAAAAGGGGAGGGATTAAATAACATGGTTTATGTCTCCTCTCAGATGGCCTCGTCGACGCAATGATCAAAGTAATAATGCATCTCAATATCATGTTCGATTTCTCCATTATTGACTGCACCAACACTCAAACATTATGAATCTTATCTATACCTCTCTCTTACAACTCATGCTTCATCGTATATACACAACTTAATTTGTCTCAGACCCAATTTCCCAGTCAAGATGAAAAGGAGTTGTCAGCAAAGATGCTAATTTTTTCATCGTTAATATGCTTGTAATTCCACAATCTGGTTTATAATTTTATCATCGTTAATATGCTTGTAAGAGATGCTAATTTTCCCACCATAACTACAATGCCACTCCAAATACATGTCATGATCATATCAAAACAACACTACTTATAATAAAATTGGAAATATTTTGTACCATTGTGTAGATGTAAAGATGATTCTTCTAGTAGATTGTTATTCTCCTAATATTATAAAAAGAGAAGCTGAATGACTGAACCTTCTTTGAGTCATGACGTCTCTCAAATGTTATGAGCTTTTCCTTTTATCGAATACACTGTGACTTGAGTATCAAGAAAGAGGTTTTATCAAACAAATGCTTTAAAAGTTTTCACTTTTTTTTTTGTTATCTTTCTTATTTTTATAATTTTATAATTTTTTATCTTTCTTTTTTATTTGATATAATCTAATATTATATGATCTTATTTAATTAAATAAGTATATTATAGATTTGATTGGATTATCAATAGAAAATAAAATTTATTTATAATATACTTCCTTAGGAGATGACTTTGATAAAAAAACTAATCATTTATCTTAGACCTCTTGCTTTCGTCTATAAAAAAATAAAACCTCACAATGCATGACACACGATCAAAATTATTGATTTATTTTTATCTTTTTTATTCATTATTTTATTATTTAAAATAGTCTTACGATGGATATGAATGATGGATATGGAACGAAGAAATTTTTGATATTTTCTATATTTTATAGATTCATTCTATAAATACTACTCATAAATAGTGTTTAAGTGTATAGATCCCTCCGAATTTTTTATGCTTTGATTTAAAAATTCTATTTTAGGGTACATGTGCTCACATGATATTGAGAGGCTCCATAACCTAGAGAATTAATTTTGATCATGGCTTCAAAAACATTTTGATTTAAAAATTGACGGTCTTAGTTTTCCAAAACCAAAGGACAATTTCTAATTTTTTTATTATAGTTTAATTAAAATTTTAAAACATAAAAAAATTTAAATTTATTTTTAAATAATAAATAAAAAAAAATCGATAGTTTTAATTAGAACCGAAACCAGCTATTTCAGAATCTTTCATGATCGATTTTGATTTAATTTGAAATCAATAGAAGATTGATTTGATTTCGATTGTAACTCTATTCGATTCGAACCAAACAATTATGAGCTTCATCATAATGATAGTTTCTCATGAACCTAGTTTGAAATAAAATCAAATAGTAACACCTACATTCACTTGCAATAGAAACACCCAAATACTTCTTCTAAACTTACCAAATTGTCTTGATGGATTTGACAAATATAGGCCATAGATTGGTAGCATAAATGTTGCTCATAAAAAGTTGCATGTCCGAGTAGTAACACACCAAACCTTAACCTTTATATTTGGTTTTCTTATTATTTTCAATATTTACAAGTAGATGATGTGAAAAATAGGATATATATATATATATATATATATAAAGAGAAAACCCCTTTAAAGTTTCAGGGATTGTTTGGTAAATTCAGTCACTCTCGGCCCTAAAAGGAGGAGAAACGAATGAAAGCGGAAACCGCAATCTTTTTGGTTATCCGTTTCGCTTCGCTCTGCGTCCCTCCGCCTCTTCCTCATCCTCTGTTGCTTCCGTCGTCGATTCTTCTCTCTCTCGTTCTTCAAGGAAGAGAAGGAGGAAGAGATGGGTTCCGACGCCGCGGCCTACGATGCCTCCGTTGCCGCCATCTCTCGCGACATCGCCAGGAAAAAGAGGGTACAAATTCACGAATTCTTTTCTTCCTCCTCCTCTGCCTCCTCATCCT